GCTTGTCGGAAGTAAAACGTGTATTACTGGGAACGAGGGAAAAAGGAAAACAAATATGGCGGTTTCAATCAAAGAAATGTGGCTGTTAAGCCACAGTTTCAACGATGGTTTCTTCGCGAGGAAAGCCTCACGCGGTACAGATACAACTCCAAGAGTGATAAGAAACCACATTCTACATCACTACCTGCTCTGAAGTATTATGATGACTTTGAAGATAGATAAAAAGCTTAACAAATTCGAGTGCTCCCCAAAGCGAGATCTACTGTTTGTTACGAGGATGCCAACATGGAAAGCTTCGAACTGTGTATTCCATACGAACCAGAGAGAATATGGCCGTTTTTTTCAACGAAGAAAACACAGCAAGCCACAAACTTGTGGACAATCTGAGGTACTGACCCTTTCATTTAAGTTTCCAACGTTTATTTTTCGGTGCTACCCTTCGTTAGACAGAAAGTGTTCTCCATTGCCTTTCATGTCAAACGTTACCCACATACATCAAATGCGTTCCATATCCTTTATTTTCTGTCATATTTTACAAGCTGCCATTCGGTTAGTGTTCGATTAAGGGGTTTTAAGTCCCGGATGTGACCGGGAATTCTACGCGACGCAGTAGCGGTCCCAAGACCGTTCCCTGGGGAACGCCGGATGGCGTGACTACAGAAGCAGATGATGCCCCTTGATTACTACTGATTGGGTACGCTGTGCTAAGCACGATTCGAACCAGTTAGGTGGTGAGCCATGACCTCCTAATCAAGTTACCAACTTTAAGGTCCTGGTCTTGTGCCCTCTTTTCCTAGTTTTTTGATGTGTGACCACAAAGCCTTTGGGTTTTGTTTCATGGATTCATCGAGAAAATCAGAAACATTATGGTCTCTGGACCTATTCAAGTTCTTGTGTAATTGTTTCCTTTCTAATTTGAACTTATTTCAGTCAGACTGGCTTCCAGATTTCTTTGCCCTGTTGAATAACCTTTGCTTTATCCTGGTCTGTCACGCAAACTGCGACTGAATCACGGTAGATTATGGCGTGAAGTAGTGGACTTGTGCGGTATGCAGGAATCCAATATGCTAGCCAGCCGTTGTTGAAACAAGTTCCACTTTGTATCCACGGAGTTGCTCTTCATTGCTTCGAAGTTATCTGCAAATTCTTGCAGTTCTTTCTTTATGCGTGTGTTATCTGCTC